GTGCTGGGATTACAGGCTTGAGCCACCGTGCCCGGCCAAATCAGACTTATATCTATCAAATTTTTAACTATATTGAGTACAATGCTCTTTTTAAAAAGTTAGTACAATTATCAGTGAATCTTTCTCAATAGATATAATTTTAGGACATTAATTTTTCACTAACCATTTTTTGTCACGTAGGCAATTATTTGAACAAAGTTTCATAGTATCTGAAGACACCTGAAAGCTACAGAATTGCTAACACTCATGAAGAAAAAAAATTCTTATATAGTATTTGTAAGGAAAAATGTTAGCAACTTAGAGAACAATGGCTTTTTATGCCGAGAAAGGAGGAAACTATTCACTTTGAAGCCTTTCATTTTTAAATTTCATTCTGGCTGGGAAGCTTTCTATTCCTTAGAAGGTTTATATTCATCTTTAAAGGAGAAGCTCATATTTCTGGTCTTACTCTTTCTTGAGTTAAGAAGGCATTTTCTAAAGAATTCTTATAACTTCACAGGATTCTAAGGGATTCTTATAATTTCACGAAAATGACACTGAACACTCACAATTCCTGAGCATCCGGTCCCCTTAGCAATCTGCCTTCCCCTTTTGTCACATTTCTTCCGCTTGTTTTGAGGCCCTAGGAGGGCAGGGCTGGTATCTGTCCTGGTCACTATTATATCTGCACATGGCACAGAGTGGGCACTCAAGATACATTTATTAAATTGAATTAAAGGCTTTGGTTTGTTTTAAACAATAAGTTATTCTTATGTAATATGCTAATTTATGAAAACAGTTCCACAGAAATTAGAATTAACCTTTCGGGGAGTGGAAAGATCAGCAAATATCAAATGGCAAGCCATCTCCCCACACTGGGGCTGCCAGGGAACAGAGAAATATGCTTCTAAGTTCATTTGTGAGTCACTAAGACCAGGTAAACAGACATTAAACAGGGAACCGGTTCAAATATAAAGGAGAGAACTATGGATTCAAAAGAACTGAGTGTGAATCAGGGCTCTCTCTCCCAGTCCAAGTTCATCTCCAGGAGCATCGGTAACTCACAAAACAGCCCAATGAACAGGTAGTCATGCAGATCAAATGCGGAGGGGCATTCAGTGTGTTCTACTGAGGCCAGCCCAAGGGACAAGCTTACTAGGGAGAGGAATGCCCAGAGCAGAGGGTCAGTGAGGGTAAGGGAGATGGGAAGAGGGAGAATCAGGGCCCTCCAAGGATGCTGGAAGGGGCAGGGATGAGTCTCCACCACCCAGAGTGTGGGGCACCTGCAGTCACATGAGCGACATCCGACGTCTTGTAAAATAAACAACATGGGAAACTTACTTAATATTGAATTTTCAGTTTTGAAAACAGTTCTTCTTATTCCCAGTCTCATTGTTCCTCCCAAATTGCCAGGGTTGTGCTCAGGCATATCAATCACCTTAGAAAACAAAACAAGTCCAGTTTTGCCATCTTGTAAAAATGTCATTTCCCAAATTTCAAGCTTTACTTTTAAAGGAATGATCATTGGGTAAGCATGGTCCCTAAACTATAACATTTGATCAGTCTTTCCAATGATCATGTTCAAATACAGGCATGATGTAGACACACCGCACATTGTACTTCCTTTCCATCTGCTTCTCATCTTTCATTTAAATCACTTATAAATAATGTATCGGGAGCATCTTGATGATGTCCCTCCTGCCATTACTCAAACTGTCAGTTCCAAGTAGTCCTTCCACTTCCATATCTAGATTGCTGAGGCCTCCCACATCAGTGTTCACATCTTTCGTGATAACCCTCTTCCCACTGACCAGTGCATTCCCTAAAGATTTTCCATAAGCAAATCTATATCAGTAACTTGTACTGTGGAAAGGTATATCAA